TTTTTATAAAGGCTTTAATTTATTTTTTATTTTATTTTATTCTTTTTTTCAGTTTTTGTTTAATTTGAGTCAGTTTTGTACTTCAGCTTAAACTTTTTCATTTCAGTTGCAAGGTAAATTTAAGTTAAAGTTTTTCATCTAATATTTATATTTTAATTTATTTTAGCTTTATTTCAATTATTGAAAATGATTAATAATAGTTTTAGTTGTAGTTAACAATGACTGTACTGTCCAACAGTCAAGTAGAATTTAGTTAATGCAGTCCTTTTAAAATCTTACCAACAGTCAATGGTGATTTAATGCCAGAAATTATTAATATAATATAAATTTTAATAACAAATAACATATTTGAAAGATTCTTAAACAGGATGTCAAGTAGGAAGTATATAGGAGATAAACGAGCTGTGAATGCCATATTATGTTAACATTAACAGTGTAGCATTTCACTTTTCAAACTAAATCACGAGAGACGGCGCTGTCATCTGTTTAGTGTTATGACAGTTGTTCAGATGACAGACGACACTCATCAGTCTTCAGGAAATGTAGGTGTGCATCTAATATTTATATTTTAATTTATTTTAGCTTTATTTCAATTATTGAAAATGATTAATAATAGTTTTAGTTGTAGTTAACAATGACTGTACTGTCCAACAGTCAAGTAGAATTTAGTTAATGCAGTCCTTTTAAAATCTTACCAACAGTCAATGGTGATTTAATGCCAGAAATTATTAATATAATATAAATTTTAATAACAAATAACATATTTGAAAGATTCTTAAACAGGATGTCAAGTAGGAAGTATATAGGAGATAAACGAGCTGTGAATGCCATATTATGTTAACATTAACAGTGTAGCATTTCACTTTTCAAACTAAATCACGAGAGACAGCGCTGTCATCTGTTTAGTGTTATGACAGTTGTTCAGATGACAGACGACACTCATCAGTCTTCAGGAAATGTAGGTGTGTGCTTGCATCATGTGGTTCCACTATGTCTTCCGCTGTCTTCTATACGTTCCACTATAGAATATTGTAGTTCAGAATAGTTCGTAGATCTGTGTTCCGATGAAAAAGAGGTTTACTTCTAGAGAAATAAATTGAGAAAGATGACGTTACACATGCCAAATGTACTCTCTGATAAAAACAGTCTTTTCTCACAAAGGCTGTCGTGTTGAGATCACATGACCAGATGTATATAACTCACTTTATCTCAATAACAACCCTACTGATGTCACCGAAGCTGTGCATCTGTTTGTTCATGTTAACTAACAGAAGTGTTGCTTCTATATTATTGTTGTAGTATTTATTAATATTTTAGATATTATTAATTTTATTATGTGCTTTCGTCATTTTTATTAGTTTTTTTTAATTATTATATATAGCTTTAATTTAGTCATTTTCTATAAATTTTAATTTGTTAATATATATATATATATATATATAGTTTTATATATATTATTATTTAATGAAATTAGTTATTTTTATTAATTTTTATTTTATTTTTAGACTTTGTAGATATTTGTATTCATTTTTGGGGAGGTTGAAATATTTTATATAACTTTAATTAATTTATTTATTTTTTCAGTTTCGGTTTACTTTTGGATATTAGGTTGCAGAATAAATAGTTATAGGTGACAAACTCTGCAACATCGACACTTATTGAACTGAATTGAATCAACATTGAGCTAAATAACAACAATATTGTCTTCTGTACAGCTGCTTATTGTCCAGTAATTAATAATATGATGAACTAAATTGAATCAACACTGAACTAAATTCAACTGAATAGTGACACGATTGTCCTTTTTAAAGTTTCTTCATAGCAGAATTAAAGAAATTTGCTACATTAACAGTTCTTTTCTTGGTTCTTACTGTGAATCTGCTATATAAATAAATGTGACTTGACTCAACAAATACCATATGTCTATAAATAGGGTGCTTCTACAATAACATCAGTAACCGAATGTGCTTCTACATGGCATTTGACTTGCACATAAAGCGTCTGTTTAATTTGAAGCGGCCTGTACAAGAGAAGACACTCAAGTTTAGATGAGGCATGTTACAATAGGATTTCTGTGTGGGCTTCTCACCTTTAAAACCACACATATGCACACACACACACACACACACGCGCGCTGTAGGGAAGCCACCTGCAGATGCCAGATGTAGAGATACAGTTTGTGGTAGTTCAAGAGTCACAGGTGTACAAAGCTCAACATCAGCACAGCAGAAAGACACAAACACATACTGACACAAGACCAGACGTCCACCACAGCAAGCCTTCCTCCACACACTAATGCATGCACTGCGGTTAGAAAAGTGGGTTACCTGGAAGCTTACCGGTTTATTTCTCTGTGCGTCGACATCCAGGTGTGTTGTGGGACGTCTGACTCTTTGCTGTGACCCCCTTTGTGTGTCTGCTTTGGTTTGTATGTGATTATGTGACAGTGACAGGTTTCTGAGTGTGCAGTGGCATTTTGAATGCATTTAAACATCTAAATGAAACGCACATGTTCTTATTGTCTCTTTCACAGTCGCAGACAGTTTGGCCCGAAGGACCAGGATGAGGTGAAGATCATCCAGCACCAAATGCAGTATCTGAGACTGATGCTGGCTGCTGCCCTCGCTCTCACCTTCACCACCAGGTACATACTTCCTGTCCACGGCCACATCCCTTTGAGTGTGATCTTTTTATATGTAAAGACAAGACACTAAAGGCAAAAACATTGTTTTTTTGCATGCACTGGTCAGTTTTGAGATTTTAGGCTATTTGGGTTGTCATAATGTGTTGTTTTAGGCTAGTGGAAAGAAAACATCCAAAATACATGTTGAAGTGTTCATTTCATTGCACTTTATCTGTTTGCATTTGTAAATTTCAGCTATACAACAATGGCCAGTTTCTCAAGTTTTTTTTTCTCCACTTCATCAGTACTTGCATACAGTACATAAAAACGTACATTTTTATTCTGTTTATTCTGAAGGTTTTTACATAGGGGTTTGTTCATAAATAATTTACCTGATTTTATCCGACATTTCATTCCTAAAATCATGGTGAATTTTATTTATTACATTTTCTGGATGTTGACAGTATTTTCTGAATTATGTCATAAATTAAGGAAAAATCTAAAATTCCCTCTGTAAAAAGCTTTGACTCTAATATGCCAACAGAATGAAACAACCATTTTGAATCTGTTTTATCCAGTATTCAGATTTCTATTCTGGAATTGTATGCAAATTAATGCATGTTTAATTAGATTATGCCTCATTTGGGTATTTAAACATAATATCTCAGAAAACTTGTCATTCTTTATTTGTAGTTCTTAATGTAATCAATCAAATGGGAAAGTATGGTGAGGTTTATTAGTTATTAGTAAGTTATTAGAAGTATGGTGATAACTACTATTAGTATTCCTGGGGTGTCTTGCCTTAATTTAGCAGATGATTTTGTTCAAAGCACATTGCATATGATAAACGTATACTTGGCAAGTATAAAATTGGTTAGTGTATATATATATATATATATATATATATTTATAATGACATACTTTTGTGTTATATTACATTGGCAGTAAATTGCAAAACAATTTACAAAACAATGATTTCTGTATCAGTCTCTCTAGATTTTTCCCCTATTTTGTCATGGAAGCTCTGTCATGAATTTTTTCTTTTGCTTTTGGAGCAAATGGGAATATGAAATTGTATTTGCTGTCTACTCTGCTGTCACTACTATAGAAGTTTATCACCTATGGTGACTTGCTCTTCTGAGAATCCCAGAAATGTGAAAAGGGTCCATTGTATTTTAAATGACAAAAATACGTTTTAATGGTGAAATAAGCCTATTAAAATATCACATACAAAATCTTAAAAGTAGTAAGACATACAATAGCTTGGGCGAGAAACCATATTTGCTTATTTTTCTATAAATGGTCTGGGTGTCTACACAGAACATCAAACTATATCAAAGCTACCAAGAAAATCCTCTTTTCCATCATCTGTGCTTAAAGGATGGAATTAAGGAATTAAAGGATTAATGACATAAAAGTGGCAGCACAAAGAGCAGTTTTACTGGCCTCCACAGGAGAGGTCTCTGTGTTTGTACAATTCAGGTCACTGGCACATTCTGAGAAATACCACAGGAGGAGAATCAAAGGAAAAGAGGAGCTCAGATGCGCCCTTCTGAGAAATCACTGCAGGTTTCATCATTATTTATCGAACACATCTGCGCTTTATTGGAAATAAAAGAGATAGTTTATAAAGTTAGTTTGATGGTCAAACATTTGTACAGTGAAGTATGAGAGAGATTTAATTACTGACACATAAATATTCCCTTTTGTACATTCATCATAAAGATTTTATTTTTAATATTTAATATATATGTATTTTTATTTTATTTTTAATATTTAATATTTTATTTGTACATTTGTTTATTTATACATTTATTTTTGCAACATTCCTGTAGCTCAAACACTCCAGCATGTCTCTAGCACCACCAGGATCATATATATTTATTCAAAGCAATAATATATTAGGTTAGGGTTTGATGTGTTTTTTATTGTATGTGCATTGTTTGTATGTTCCCGTGTTTGCTCTCAGATATGCTGCAGGTTTGGTGGATGATGCTTTGTGTCAGGGTCAGGACCTTCAAAGCAATCGCGCTCTGCAAGCTCTCGTCGCAGGACTCAAAAGCCTACAGCACGTGGGAGAACATCGCGTGGATTTTGATGTGAGAGGACAACAGGAGATGGACTTTTTCACTGGAGTAAGCGTTATTATGAAATATGGACTCATATTTTGGTCAAAAGTGACCGTTTAAAGTCAAAACCGCCTTAAATGGTGGATTTATTTCCATGTTAACTGATGGACTGGAGTGGTGTGGATTACTTGTGGATTGTGATGTTTTTATCAGCTGTTTGGACTCTCATTCTGACGGCACCCATTCACTGCAGGGGATCCACTGTTGTGCAAGTGATGTAATGCTAAATTTATCAAAAATCTGATAATGAAACAAACTCAAAATCTTGGATGGCCTGAGGGTGAGTGCATTTTCACCAAATTTTCATTTTAGGGTAAACTATTCCTTTAAACAATGTCCATATACTGCATGTCAAATGTATATTTTGATTTGTTTTATTTCCTTTAGCCACTTTTAAATAAACACTGTGGTTGATATTCCTCCAGGGCTTTATGATGGAAAACCGCATTCCATCTCTGAAGTGTGACTCCGACGTCTTTGTCACATTTGTGGGAGACAACATGGCCATGCTTCAGGTATTCATAAGTATACTTTAGCTGACACCACACAAGAAATGCACTCAAACTGGCCAGCAAGTACTGAGGGGAAAAAATGCTTGGTCACAAGGGTCGTGTTTATTACCATCTTTTTCCTTAAGGTTGTTATTTGTTTTCCTACTTCTTTTAGAGCCATTCCCTTAATATAGTCCAATATCACATTTAAATGCTCGTGTTCAGACAAACAAGACAGTGTAAACAGAAAACACAGATATCCACACGATGACCGCTTGGAGGGGAAACTAGACAAGTGGCAATTATTTTAAAAATATAAACCGTCTCAAAAACTAAATTGAATTAAGTGGATTATGAAGGCATTAGAATAAAGGGGGTCACTTCGATGCGTTTGCACACGGTTTGATCACAATAATGCGTCCTTAGCATTGGGCTGGTTATTAGATAACTGCTGAGGTAATTAGGTCAGCTTTGTGATTCATTTTATACTGGTTCTGATTAGCAACACATCAATTCGACACATAGGACGACACACATGCACACATAACGACTCAAACACAACGTCTGCATTCACAGCTTGCCGAAGCCTAAAGACATGTATTTTCTGCTGAAATTAGATTATCCCCTTCAGTACCAAAATAAAGTCATGCAGTTGAATCCTTAGAAACAGGCTGATGGTGTTGTCATTTTAACAGTAGAGAAACCATTGAGAAGGACAAAATTCACAATTGTGATTGGGAATTTTTGTTTTAATTGCAATTTCTTAAACGTGTACATTTGTCCGTGTAGTTGGAATACTATATTTGGAATTTTGAATGATATGAAGTATTACAGTTAGAAAATATCGGTCTAAATTCTTATCGTTACATTTAATGAATTTGAACTCTTCAAGATTAATATTTGAACTTTTTTCTAACACTTCAGCTAAGTAATTGAGTTTTTGCATTGCTTTAGTTTAGATTTGTGTGCATATACACTACTGTTCAAAAGATTGGGGCCGATTAAGATTTTTTTATGTTTTTGAAAGATGACTCTTGTGCTCACCGAGGCTACATTTATTTGATCAAATACAGTAAAACTTTGAAAGATTGGGAATTTTTGTTTTAATTGCAATTTCTTAAACATGTACATTTGTCCGTGTAGTTGGAATACTATATTTGGAATTTTGAATGATATGAAGTATTACAGTTAGAAAATATCGGTCTAAATTCTTATCGTTACATTTAATGAATTTGAACTCTTCAAGATTAATATTTGAACTTTTTTCTAACACTTCAGCTAAGTAATTGAGTTTTTGCATTGCTTTAGTTTAGATTTGTGTGCATATACACTACTGTTCAAAAGATTGGGGCCGATTAAGATTTTTTAATGTTTTTGAAAGATGACTCTTGTGCTCACCGAGGCTACATTTATTTGATCAAAAATACAGTAACATTTTGAAATATTATTACAAAAAATTACACTTTTCTATTTGAATATTTTGTCAAATGTAATTTATTCCTGTTACCCAAGCTGAATTTTCAGCATCATTACTCCAGTCTTCAGTGTAACATGATCTTTCGGGAAATCATTCTAATATGCTGATTTGCTGCTCAGAAAACATTTATTATTATTAT